GTAATTCTTTAGAATGCTCTACTTGAAAGGGCAGTGGAATCAAAGCCCTTGAATATTTTTAATGCAGAGAGAGGTAGTTTCTTGTTCAGCAAGGGGGCCAAAAGTTATCGGAGAGGCAGAAATGTGGGTTTGACATTACAGTCCAATCAGCCGTGATGTTATTGAATGGTGGAGTAGACTTGAAAGGCTGAATGGCCTGCTCCTGCTCTTGTTCATATGTATGTGACCTTCTGATGGAGGCTTCAGTACAAGGTGGATGCTTTTGCCCTCTTTCAGGAATCAAAAGATATTTGGCTCCAAGTTGGATAAAAAAACCAAAAGTGCAAAATAGGCACACACTGCTGAATTAATACGCAAAGAAATTAGATTCAAATTGAAATTTTGTAACAGAATTTAACCTTGCTATTGAGATTATATCAAAAGCGAAAATTGTAAATAGTGTTTCCAATTATACTAGTATTCCTACAGACGCAACACATTGTTGGAAATTTTTTTGGTAAACTGTTAAATGCTAAGAAGCTGACTTGGTGTCCCATATTTTATTCCAGTGCACCCATACTAATGGAATGCCATGAAATTCAAGCTCTGACCAACAAAATTAATTTGAATTCAATTAAGTTGTCATGCATGTATTATATTTCGCAGGTATTGTGTAATGGCATCTGGTTTAAATTTCCATAATGATCTAGATAGGTGATTAAAGGGATCTAATTTACCTCTAATTTTGTGAATAGTTGGTATGTATTCTTTTCTCTTAGACAATTTGCTTGTACGAATAGGAATTGTCATCACATAATGGGAAAATCACCTGGGGGCACTCTCGCTTCACGAATTTCATGCCATGCTGCTATTCTTTCCATGTTCATCATTTTCTACTTTGTAAGGCCCTGTCCTGAATTGCAGACTTATTTCTTTCTTTTAGTTGTAAGCGTTATCAGTACTTGGCAGAAATGGCAAGAATTATATGTCTAAAATTAAGAGCTATTCAATTTATAAAAATATTAGAGAGGAGTACTTCGTCTCCAGCTCTATTCGTAGAGTATGTCTACATTTTGTGCTTGTTATCGTCACTTTCTCATTCTATCTTCAACTATGCATATACAGAAAGGAAGACTGGATTTCAAAAATTAATCCTCAACATGGGCTACATCTACCTGGAGAAACGGGTGATTCCTGATACACCCTATTATTAATACACAAACCAACCAACAAGTTTTCGGAATCATCCGTGTAAATTGTGAATCTTCATAACTCGTTGGTTGATATGTACCACACCATCATTTGACACAGCTCCCCCTCAACTTCCCAATCCTTTATTTTTAAGTACTTGCTGGATTTGCATGTTAATTGTTCATTGAATTCACAACTAGAAGTTGGGGCTCATAGTTTAACAGAACACGTACCTTTTTACAACATTATGAATGTAAATGTGATGTCAGTAATGCTCTGTAGCCAAGAGAGCTGTTGAGCTGTTTGAGTCATGCCTCCAAGTAGTAATTTGTTAGGTTATATGTTTTAAATTTTAATTTTCTTCTTGACTTTTCTTTTTTCTTCCTTAATCAAATCTTTAAATCCATCCTATGCGTTCTGTGTCCAATGCACCTTCCTTTAGTTACTCTGTTGTTGATTTCTTAATTCTTGAATTTCAATGGTTAAGGATAAAAGAGGATGGGGCAGCTGATACATGGGAACACCAATCCCTTTAAGGTCCTCTCCAAATCACTTTCTATCCTGACTTAGAACTGAGTTGCAGTTCCTTTAGTGTCACCGGGTCAGAATCTTGAACTTTCCTCTCTAACAGCATTGTAGGTTCTAATTACACCCCATGGATTGGAGCAGTTTGAGAAGGCAGCTCACCACTATCTTCTCCAATTTGACCCAGTCAGCAATGCCCATATCCTGTGAATGAATAAAAGAGAGGAGGCTGGAGAAACTGATAAGTTTTGCTGCTGCTTCTTTTAGTCTGTTTGTTAACAACAGCTTAAGGTAAAGAAATTGGTTCTCTGGCATCTAATTTTGAGACAAAGTACAAGGTTTAGTGGAGGCCACTGGCAGCGATCTGCTGCAACTATCTCTCTCTCTTCCCCTATCACCACTACTACCACACACTTACAGCATCCCAAGAGTGCTTCGACTGCCATTTTGGTATAGCAGGATTTATTTTACTGATTCTGAAATCAATAATTTTGACTGTCAACGTTCAGGGCCTAGCCTGTTTTTTCATCAAAATAATTTAATATTAACGTAGATTTAGCCTTTCCCCTCATCACAATAGAAATTCACCAAATGCAATACATGAGCATTTTGTGCAGTTTAGTAAATTGTTCATGTTATCTTACATAAATTGGAACGTTTTTTGCCCTAATACTTTCAAACCAAAATTAAGATTTTTAAAAAATTCAAATGAATAGGAAAGCTGACTTATGAATGTTATGACAAAATTCAATGCATTGAGAATTTAAGCATTGAGTTCATAGTGACTCAGTTACCTACTGCTTTGTCTTGCTCTTTTTAACCATATGAAAACACCTGTAAAGGTGCTCTTTATTTAGTTGGTATTTTTCTCACATGATGAAATTACAGCCTTCAAAACTGCAGAGGTCAAGGTTTGCAAAGTAAGTGCGCATTCCCAGGCAGAACTCATTGTTGAACTGGGCAGTATTCATGCTTGCGATTTAATCAAGCTTTACCAGGTGTGAGAATGCCTTTGATCTATAACTTAGCATCTTAATAGGGTGTGCATACTGATTCATTCACAGGCTATTAAATTGGCCAATTGCATTTGTTTTGTCATTTACGTCTAAGCATTAATTTGTCACTAGCCTGGCTTTGATAGTGAAACACCTAGAACTAGGTATCTTTTCTGTGGAGTTGGAGAACTCAATGGGAATCTCTCTAATGGGCCTCTGTGTAAAGGAATTTTCAAGTTTTTGTGGCATAGCTATAATTTTAGAAATGTAGTTTGGCCTGAATAAATTAAGTTTCTCAGAGGACCATGACAACCAAGTTTTTTTTTTACAAAGGTTAGAATATTTCTTAATGGTATTTGTGTACAGATTTCATATTGACACTGGTGCCTGTTTTGCAACAGTGAGTTAGGAACAATTGGTCCATACCATGCAAAGACCCATGTTCAAGGGTCCTTTCTGGGTGATGGTTAACTTTTTTCAATTTAGAAGAACTGATTGTTTAAGAATGTTAAAGGTGTTCACAGAAGAATGGAAATCTTTTAAAACTGTATACTTAAACCTTAAAGTGAAGGCTTCATTACAAATTATATAGCAGTATGAAGCCCAATCATTGCCTCTCATTGCATGGAAGTATTTGTTCCTTCCCTTGGATAAACAACTTCATGTCCTAGCTTTACATTGATGCAATTTGAAAACTACTGTATGATTCACTCAGTTTTTCCTATTGTATTTGAAAATCATTTCATAATACATTCATTGCACTGAAGATAAATAGTTAATTACCATGAGTCTGTTGAATCAAATGAAATTGAATGAATGCTTTATTAATCATCCATACAAATTGTGTGCATAAAATTGACTTTAAACAAAAACAAGATATTGTGACAATCTTTGCTACATGAGATGTAATGAGTGTTGTTTAAAGATTGGAGACAGCATGCAACCATTTTCACTTCACTTGCTGATAGTGAGCTACTTAACTGTATTGACAGTAACAGCAGAATGATAGCAGTATTATAATAAATTGCTGGGCCATTATTGTGCAGTGCTTATTTCATTTTACAGGTTTTTCAGAACCTACGGCATTAATCTTGCTCACTGATTGACAGTGGCAGCAAGGGAAAAGAGCACCTTTATTGTTTGTACTAGTCAAATCTGTTAAACCTAATTCTGCTGAGATTATTTGCATATTCTTAAGTATTTCTTCCAAGTGGCCTAAATCCTTCTCGAGTGTTTGATGCATTTTCGAATTCATTCTTAAGGTATCTACACGCACTATTAGTTCTGTATAATGCAGCCAGCCATAATCTTCAGATAAGGCTGGTCTTGAACAAGACTTTTTATGAAGGATGGCATGTTACATTTCTGACTTATTCTGCTCAGCTCATATATCAACAGAAATGTCAAGTACTGTACTGCTGAATATCTGAAATATATGCCTGCTAGCAGTGGACATCAATAAAGGCAAAATGAAGTTTTCAGAATGTTAATTACGTACTGAAAGCCTAATATTATACTTTGTACAGTTCTACCTTCATTTAATATCTTGCCAAGACTTGTGCTACAGTTGTGTTGTTCGTTAATTGATACAATAATAAGTAAATTTATTGTATCTCCAAAAATTGAGCAACTTGAGATTTTGTCAGTTGTCAACGTAATTAAATCCACTAATGTATAATTGCCTAAAGTTCTCAACTGTTTGCATTTTTTGGTATTATGATCTGTGTCTGCACAGAGTGTATTTCCAGTTAGTAGATTGCATGACGAATGTCATGTTTGAATGAATTGCTAATGATTTATTTATGCTGATATACAAAAATGGTACTCAAATGGTGGAGGATGTTTTTATTTGCTGAATTTGTAAGACAGCACATTCAATTTCATGGATCTTGATGGAAGGCAAATGAGTAAAGGACATTTCTTTTAAATATTGGACTACTGGTCCACATTTTATGTGTACAACTTCAATCACAGGCTACAAGTGCAATCTATTATATGCAGAAGTTAACATACATGGAGACAGAAAGTTTAGCATTGTATTTAAGCTGGGGCCAGACCAGAAGACACTGAATAAGTTGTTAACTTAATCAACTAAATCAGAAAGTATTGAGAAATGTAAATAGGTCATGTTATTTCACCAATGTTGTTTCCCAAAATGTAGACTAAAATGTTGTTGTTCTGCATTTTGGCATAGTTAGGTTTTTCATTCAAAATGTGTCAGTAGAAATGCTAGTTGATACCCTGAAAGTTATACCAGTTTGTTAAATCCAGTGGAGCAGATTTTATTCACTGATATTTTCTCTTTCCTAGGAATCACCTTCTGGTCGTAGAAAAGCTCTTGCCACCAGTAGTATTAACATGAAGCAGTATGCGAGCCCCATGCCTACTCAAACTGATGTAAAGCTGAAATTCAAGCCATTGTCTAAAAAAATTGTTGCTGCCACACTGCAGTTTTCTTTATCGTGCATTTTCTTGAGAGAAGGCAAAGCAACGTAAGTTTCTTTGAACTTGACCTGAACATTTCCCAGATGTTTCATTTGCATTTTAACCTCAATGTTTTCTTCATACCTTGTCAGATGGCAAATGGTGGCCTAAAAGTATCTTTGAGTTTGCTAACTATGAAATCTAAAAGCTCTCAACAAGAAACATGTTGTTGAGTTCTGATGAAGGGTCACTGGACCCGAAACATTAATTCTGCTTTCTCTCCACTGATGCTGCCAGACTTGCTGAGTTTTTCTAACCGTATTTAATTTTGTTTCTGATTTTTAGCATGTGCAGTTCTTTGTTTTATTCTTCATTTAGGAGGTAACATGTGTTTTTCTTGTTGATTTTGAAACTATGTTAAGTACAGATACTTTTTTTTAATCTGCAAATGAAAATTAAAACAACTAACCTGTCAATATCAGTCAAGAAAGCTTAAAATGCCTTAAGATAATTTCTGTGAATATAAAGTTAATTTAAAATGAGACATTAGCATGTGTGATGTTTCCTTCTTTTGAATTGAAGAGCAACAACTTCAGTGCAGACCAAACTCCAATAAATTATTGATTATTCTAGATAGTTGGATCATATTTGCATAAAAATTATGCAATATAAAACATTTAGTGTATTAATCCAAATAAAATCAGAGTGATTAGCATCTGATGGCAGCATACCTTTTTATATAAAGGCTTTGTTTCTAGTATTCCTGTTTATTAAATTATCTGTGTGTATATCAATCACCACCTGGTTGTTGGATCATGGAGCCAGTTTTGTTTCCACATTCTTCCGTACGGCCCATACTTTTATTGTTTCCTGTCCTATGGAATAATAAAGAAAAAAAGTTCACCCGAGAGTGGCCAGTTCACCATCAGACCTGTTTTGGCTTGCGGGTCACATCGGTCATTATTAAATAACAATTGGGAATAAGAAACCCTTTTTTGTTTTTCACCTTCTTAATGAGTGGACACTGACTGCTCTTCCCATTCTCGCGTCCCAATTGATCTCTGTTATTTAACTTATCTCAGTCATCAAACTTGGGAAGTGCATGGCCTGCACATTCCAATGATTCACTGGGCAAATTCTCTAAGATATTTGGGATCCTCAGCAATAGTCTCGACTCCTTACCTGATGTTTTGCTTTTAAAAAAATAAAACTTGATTAGTCAACAAGCTTTCTGAATTATGTGCATGAAGTTTTTGACTAGTTATGTTTCTGATGAACAGGGATGAGGATATGCAAAGTCTGGCTAGTCTGATGAGTATGAAACAAGCTGATATTGGAAACTTGGATGACTTTGAGGAAGAAAATGAGGAAGATGATGAAAACCGAGTGAATCAAGAGGAGAAGTCAGCAAAAATTACAGGTTTGACATATTTACTGCCAAATTCAGAAAGACATACTTTAAGGTTGTTTATGGCTGTAAAAACAATTCACTATGAGGTGTTCATGTTCTTGGCGTCACCATTCACTCCAAACTGTGCAGTAAAAACTGTTCAACATTAATTAAAATAAAAAAAACTGAACTTTTTTTTATGGCAGTAGTATTTGAATGTTTGTCTAGGATATTTGATTCTCTTATCTCTGTCAATTTTAACATGTTTGGAGAGAAAGATGTTCACTGGTGCACAGAAATCACGCTTCGGATTTTGTGTTGCTGTACCATTCCATGTTTGCAGTTTTCATGCTTTTTTTCCTCTGAGAATTCTGTAAGACGTAGTAATGAATAATTAATTGTTTGTGTTCTGCTTGGTCAGAATAAAAATGATAATTTTTTTTGATAAAAGGAGTAATGTAGCTTGTCTGTGTTTCTGTGGCTAATGTTGGGTATGTTTGTCCTTTGGTATAAACAATTTACCATAACTGATTTATTTTCATTAAACATGTAGTTAACTTATCCAACCGATCTTATCCTATTATTCAGTTTGGATTCCTGATTGGTATATTAGGAAATTATTGAACCATATGATCGGCAAATGACTTAAGAGTCCATGAACGCAGATCATAAAAAGTTTTTTGATAGGTAGAGAAGATTGTCAAAGAGGCTAATGGAATTTTGGCCTTCTGAATGTCTAAAGCACTCAGAATTAGAAGTCAAGCTGCAGTTGTACAAAGCCCTGGTTAGACCACAGCTGGATTGCTATGTACACTCCTGGTCATTGCATCATACAAAGGATTAATTGGCTTTGGGGAAGTGAAATTTACTAGAATAATGCTTGAACTCCAAGAGTTGAATTACATGGCAAGATTATGCAAACCAGAGTTGTTGGTTGAAATTTAGTAACAAAGTACGAAGTATTTAACCATCTTGAGTCTCATGATCAATATTTGTCAATTTTACACTTTTTCAAAAAAGATCAGCTGCTGAGTGTCATAATTTAAGTTGAAATTGTCATGCACATGTTTAATTAATGACTGATTTTATTATTTTCAAAATTGATACTGTAGTGGCAATAAAGTACAGTGCATCAACTTCATGTTGCTAACTTGAATTGAACTTGAACTGCATTTCACTTGCTTTGTATGACTTTAGATTGAAACCACAGCCTTCACTTTGCTTTGAATTTGTGAATTGTTTACCACGTTGTAACTTGACCATTTTTTAACTGCAGGACAATGTGATCTTAGCATTAATTCAGTGATTCTTTAAGATTAATTTGAAGTGGTGCATCTTGATTTCTTAAGTGATAACAGTTTAGAAGGGATTTCTCTGCTATGATAAGTTCATTCATTTAAGAAACAGCTTTGCCAAATTGTCCAAATAGGCTTCCTAGCCTAACAACAAACAATTTCAAGCAATGAAGTGTTCATCAGGTTTATATTGCTTAGTCTGTAGTTACAGCTGCAACGTAATTCTTTATAACATCTTTAAGTTTAGTTGCAACAATGCTGATGAACATCCTGTGGGTCGCATTTTCTTGGTACTTCATTGTATGTAATATGTCATTATAAGCTTTATTTTGATTGTAGAATATGCCAAACGAAGCAAAGCAATTTGTTGGGTTTTTTAATGGATCATTGAATGTGAATGAATTGCATTAAAATCTCAATGTTTTAGTAATGTACTATAATTATCTACAAGGTATTTCTATAAAAATTACACTCACCTGTGTAATTTTGCATTTCTCCTATAGAGTGTAATAATCAATAGAAATTTAAATGGAGTCTTGCCATATTTATGTGTGTTTTAAAATTGCATAGAATAACTTGTGTTAAAAAGGAAACCAGTTTAAAAATTGATCTTTCAACGCTAATTGGATGTTTCCATTTTGACTAACTCCTGGTTACTATCTGATTCTCTGCAAATCATTTTGTGTCAAGATAGATTAATGAGTAGAAAGCAAACATTTAAGTGAACTTACACTGCTAAATTTTGTCTGCTAGTCAAACTAACGTTAGCTCTACCTTCCCTTAAAATAGTTTGTTGCAGCAGTGGGAAGCAAAATTCTTCTTGAGATTATTTTCTTTCTTTTTAATGTTTGATTTACATAACAGCTTTGTGATAACTAGTAATTATTTTAATTTCATAAATCATTTGCCGGGCCAATTTATGAATAACTCATTCAATATGTTACTTTGCCCTAAAGGATTATGTCATCTGTGGGGAATTTCTGATGATGTGTCAGATTTGAATGGCCAAATTGTGAGGAAGCAATGAACGGAAAACATTCCTCATTTAGGATTAAAATTATAAAACAAAAATTAAACCAAAACTATTTTAGTGATTTTTTTTTTGGTTTAGATTTGATGAACAGCTCTTTTGATTCTTAACATTATTCTCAAGTTATGAAAATGTATGTGAATCTATTTTTCTTGTCCTTCTTGAAAGGATTTGATAAATACCCAATGAAAGAAATGTCTAAAATGTTGCTGCTCAAACATTTGAATATTAAAATATTGACTGTAGATGCTTAAAATAGTTCCCACAATTATGTTTTTTATAGTAAAATTGAAGTGACTTTAACTTCTATTCTGCCAATTTGCTTCTCTTCTTCTGATTTGTTTGAAGATATAACTCTCAGAGCGTTAATACCCATATCTTATTTAAAGTAATTTCATTTGTCACTGAGTCTGAGAGTATAGTTGGCTTATTTGACTGGAGAAAGGTGAGGGTAGGGGTGGTGAGATGGATTGACAGTGAGAAATTAGAGCTTCCAACAGCTGTGAGGATCTTGACTGAATTTTATTCCTTTGTTGAAAACGCTGAGGTTAATTATGCCCCATCAGATGGCCTCAATGATGTGAGTTGACTGGGCACAAACAGGCCATGAGCTTAAGAATCTCACTGCTCTAGAAGGCTCAGTCTTAGGACATGTGGACTAACTTACATAGTGAGCCATCTTTGTGTCCAATTTGTATTGAAGCTAATAGGAATGAGGGAATTACATGATATGCGATTCCATAATAAAAATTCATGATGGAATTGCCAGTGTGCTTCTTATCCTAACAATACTACAATGCTCAGTGGGAGGTCAGGAACCACTCACCTGAGTGCAAGGCACAATTAGATCAGACTTGAGAATAGTTCCCTAGCCAATCCACATGGCCAAAGGATACTTTTGGTGTAGCTGGGAACTCGACTATCTGTATAAGAGCCAGATATGTCATCAGCTGTATTTTTGGTTGTTTCGAATAACAACACCTCTCAAATTATGGATTTTAAAAGACAAATACCACCAATTTTTTTTTTCTGTTTTTCATTCCCTTTCAAAGAAATGTAAGCATCTTCCAATTAATTTCAATTTTTGTAGTCTTAATACTTTCCTTGACCACTCTGGTTTGCACAACAGGTGCCAAAATGGTTAAGTGACTGAGCAAAAGCTTGGATTATATTGTAGGGAAATGTGAGGCAATGCACTTAGGTAAGATAAATATTATTATTTAAATGGAGAGAGACCACTGAAAGCTGGAGCACAGAGGGATTTGAGGTCTGTGTAAATGAATCATAAGAGGCTAAAATCCAAGTTCAGTGGGCACTATGGAAGGCAAATAAAATGTTGGCTTTTTTTTTCAAACAATAGGAAAGTTCTTCTAAGACTATAGAAGGCTCCAGCCAGACCACAGCTGGAATACCGTGAACAATTTTGGGCCCCTTATCCAAGGGAAGATATACTGACATTGAAGGCAGTCCAGAGAACATTCACGAGGTTGTTTCTGGCTATGGAGGGACTTTTTTATGAGGTGAGGTTGAGTAGGCTAGACTTAATCTCCTAAACTCCAATGAGTACGAGTGGAGACCTTATTGAAGCATATGAGATTTTTAGGGGGCTTGGTAGGGTAAATATGGCGAGGCAGATGAGGAGAGTTAGTTTTCTAACTATTTGAGTCTATATTTAACAGTAAACTTCTCCAGTGGTTGAGTTAAGGCAATATCAAGGAAAGTGGTAAATTGGGATATTTCAATTATCAGTGGTGTATCCACAAAATCACAATTGAGCAGTTCAAAGTTCCTTATCTCTTTGCAATTGCCTTTTGGGCTATTATTTTATCTAATCATTGTGAGACAACGGCAGTCAAGTGAACTGGGAGCTCAGGATGCTGTGACATTGCTGTCTGGTGGTGTTGTGTGCAGCACAATGGATTACAAGACCTGAAGGCTGTTTCTTCCCATCAGTGGCTGCGTGGCTAGGAACGGAATTGAGAAACAAGGCTGCAGAGATCTTAAAATGTCACACTGAGAAAGGCAACTACTCACAGTTGAATGAGACAGTGGTTAAGATGTTTTTCCAATGTTAATGGTGCTATATATAATGGTGCAAGCCATTGGAAAATTAGCTGAATATTCTGCTTGATTTACACTTTGTAATTTTGTAACCTGTTTCCTTGGGAGATTGAATGAGTTGGATAGATAATAGAATATGTTATGTATTTTTGGAGGATGGAACAGATGTAATAGACCAGGCCTTCTTTTATTCTTTGTGTTTAATCGTATCCATGGTATATTTTTGCAGCAGGTAGCAATGGTTTTAATTATAAAGCATTATGAGACTACGTTTTGCACATTGTGACCTTTTGTGGCATAATATTTCCAGAAATTTCAGTGGTGTTTGGCACCCTGGTCTCAAAAAGAAGCTGAGCTTTTTGTCCATCATTGAGGGATTTAGTTCTGCCAGGTTTCTGAAAAGAAAACATTATTGGGCTGTGAAGAAAGCCCAGTTGTGAAAATTGCTTATAGAAATCTGTTTTCCCAATTCTGTTAACCTGTAGATGTGGTATTTTTCGTTTTTGTCTTGGCTGTATGTTTACAGAATGGATAAACCCTTCATCTGAAAGCTAACCAATAACTGAATTGCCAAAGGAAAGATATAAACAGACAGGGTGACAGTTGGTTCACCATTGCAAATGTCAAATTGACCACTCTACTCC